TTCAAATAAACTTGACCTAAAAGGTCATGTAATTAATGCGATAAAGAACGTTTTAAAAGAGTCCTTGCTTTGACTGATAAAATCAAACTTGCTAGACAAAATGTGGCTAAGTGATATCATGATATCTATGTTGACCTCTCAGGCCAAGAAAATAAATACTTTACAAGGAAAAAGATGCCTTTCTGTTATTGATAAACAAAGTTTCTTCTTGTTCTAATTTGAAATCTTTGATTCCTAAGCAACTCGAAGCTCCATGCGATCTGCACATGCGCGTACTATTGATGCCTAGACAGATGCATTCCGATGAGATCACAGATACCACATTTGTAAACGAATAGTTTTTTTTATCACATAAAAGCGCAAGCATTTAATATTTACTAACGATATTCGTACATCTATACATTTGAGCTTCCGGTCATGTAATAACACAGCCAACCCAATAGTTAATTATTAAATTCTTAACTTCTGGTGGTCCAAACGCGACATGACACATAGATAGATAGATAGATTGGCTAAAAGGTAAAACTCAAGTCGACCTAGCCTTCGGCTATATAGTCCGACTAAAAACACACTTTATCGCAAGGGGCATGATACCCGTATGGACTCTCCCCTTCTGAATATTCCAAAGCCGGAAACTAGGAAATCCTGAACAGTGGTCCTTTCTACGTACAACGGGATCTTGACAACTGAAATCTGTGAAGCAATTACGACGAATCTTTTTCGTATATGAGATCATTACTTTATACTTAATGAATTGTTACATAGATGACTTGCGCTCAGCAGTATTAAAAACACTTAATTAAGGGTCTTAGTTTTAATATCTCTTTCAAAAACTCATACATAATTAAGTAGGCCACTAGAATGAGCCATATGAATGGTCACATGGACGGATATATATTATTAAATTATATCTGATAAAACACTCCTTATTAGTATTCTTTCAGTATTTTAATTATCAAACTCATTAATAATTAAAATAATGGTGTTCGGCCAGGGCAAAGTGATTTTAATCCGGTTAATGAATAACGTTCCTGGCGAGACAGCAGTGGCTGGTAYARBAAGSACAGCGGTAATAAATTCAGCAACAACCGCTTGAGTAACGATCATTGGATGAATTTCGTAAAATCAAGTGCTTTTTAGTGTCTAAGAGGACATTTCAGTGTATTTTTCAGATAAGTAAAACTAAAAAACTATTCGTTTACAAATGTGGTATCTGTGATCTCATCGGAATGCATCTGTCTAGGCATCAATAGTACGCGCATGTGCAGATCGCATTGAGCTTCGAGTTGTATGCTTACGAAACTTTCTAGGTTTAGACAGTCTTGTGTGGGCAAAGATTTCAAATTAGAACAAGAAGAAACTTTGTTTATTAATAACAAAAAGGCGATTTTATAG